AGGGAATACCCGGGCAACACAGCCACCGGGCAAAAAACTGAAAAAATCAATAAAATAGCCTAATACCCGACCGGGTATCACGAAAACCCGGCCGGGTTTTTGGCCAAAACAGCCTAAAAACGTTCTGCCAAGCGAAAAACAACATACCCATTCGGGTATTACTAAAACCCGGCCGGGTAATCGAGATTTCAGTCCGTTTTGGTCCTAAATCAGCCCACAAAACACCCATTTGCTTCCCTAATGTCCCAAACTCAAACCCTCAACCTCCAATTACAATCATCCAAGCTTCAAACCACCCCAATCTCAACCAAAACATCCAAATTAACTCCACATTCTTCTTATCCACACCATCCTCTCCGATCCCAAAACCTAAAAAAAAAATGCCATTTCTTTTTCTCCTCACCCTACATTCCAAACCCACACACACAAAACCCATTAAATCCCCCAAATACCCTACAAACCGAATTCCCTAACCCCCCAAGCTCAAGTTTGGAATTCACAAAAAAATAAAAACGAGAAAAAAAAAACACCAAAAAGAACACATGACTTCGATCACCAAGGGTACTTCTCCAACATGCCCAACCTAGTACAACACCCGACGTGGTATTATCCCTCATGTTAGGGCAATTTAGAGGTTCTAGCTCCGGTGAACATGGTCTTGGTGGCGATGGCGGTTATGGAGGGTACATCGACAATCATGGTTCCAAACACTAGGGACAGTGTTTCGAAAAAAGTGTAGGGGAGGCACTCATTTGGTATGTACTCATTTTTTTAACCTTGTAACTTGCATTATTTTTCATCAACAAAAAAAAGAGCAAAAAAAAAAAAACAATAAAAGAAAAAAAAGAATGCTAGTTAGGTTGAAAACCCAGAAAAAATGGGCAATCTAAGCAAAAGTGGCTAAAATGAGTGAGTTGTGAGAAATGAAAAAAATAAAAAGAGAGGCTAGGATGAAAACCTGAAAAGGCTCCTAGGCAAAATGAGAGAATGAGAGAAAAATATCTATTTATGCAGAAGATAATCAAAAAAAAATGTTGGATGGTTGTTCTGCTACTTTTGTGGTTTTGAAAACTTCATGGGCAGGTTT